GCTGGAGATCACGGAGGGAGAGATCGAAGCCCTGGGGGTGGTGCTGGACGCCAACCGCCGCCACACCCGCCTTAGCTGTAAGCGTTTCTGGCGGCTTCGGCAAGGGATACGCGGGCTGCTTCGCCGTAGGCTCGTGAGTGGGCGGGCCGTGGAGATCGTGGTCGGCCACTGCACCTTCGCGGGACTGATACGCCGGGAGACACTCACCTGCTTCAGCGCCGTCTACAGCTTCATACAGAGCAACTACCACGTGCCCGTTGAGCTCTGGGCGAGCGTTCGGCAGGAGCTGAAGTGCTTTTTGGGCCTGATGATCACGCTGGTGGCGTCGTGGGAGCTGGACTGGAACGGCATTGCTTGCGCCGCGGACGCCTGCGAGGAGGGCTTCGGCGTGTGCTTACGCGCGCTGGGGGCCAGTACTACCTCCCGCTATGGCCGAGTGCGTGAGCGTGATCGGTTCAGACACCCTGGGCACGTCCGTGCCCGTGATGCCGCTTTGCTTGACTCGTGCCCGCTCTTGCACCGTGACAGTCTCGAGGCCCTTGGAGCTGTGGGAGCCCAGGGGCTCGAGGCCTCTGCCGAGTTCGAGGAGATATCGGCCTCCGATTTGGCCGAGGATGCCTGGCACGTGTGCGGTGGGTGGCCTTTCGCCTTTGAAGAAAACATTCTGCTGCTCGAAGCCCGCGCCTTGCTCATCGGCGCCGAGCGCATCCTCCTCTCTCGCCCTGGTCGCAATCTCAGACAGCTCCTGTTCTGTGATAATCTCGCGCTTGTGCTTTGCTGTGACAGATATCGCACCAGAAACTACAAGCTTTTGTTGATCCTTAGGAAGCTTGCGTGTCTTTGCCTCGCCAGGAATGTCCGTCTCACGGTTAGATGGATCCCCTCGGAGCGAAACCCCGCGGACTGGCCCTCTCGGCTTTTTTCGCACCCGCCGTCCCAGGGGACCGCGAAAGGACCTCGTGAGAGTCCTGGTGAGGTTTCTTTTCCTGCGCCCCCCGTGTCGAGCAAGGGGGGTCATCAGCGTAGTTTTTTGAGAGCACGAAGTTTAACAAGTGACATGGAGGGGGAAAAGGAGCGAGACCACAGTCCTCGTATCGCACCCCATCGACGTCCTTTGAAGCTGTCCGAATGTCTTTGGCCTCGTGGTCGAGCCCCCGAGCGTCCCAGAGTCTTGAGGCTTGCCGATTTTTTACCTCAGGTTGAGTCTGGTCGAAAGCAAGTGCATCCGCCCTGTCACCCGTCGGCGGGCGCTTCGGCTCAGAAGACGCCTAGCATCCATGAAGCGCGCACCATACGTCTTTCTGATTGTCTCCCAGATCCTTCTGCGTCCGCTGCTCATGGGCGACTCGGGTCGGCCTCGAAGAGTTCGGACGCTGGCGCGAGCTGTGGCGGACTGGCCGACGCCGAGAGCACCCGCCGCGCCGAGGCGGCGCGAGCGGACGCTGGCCCGCAGCCGCGCGGCGGTCGCAGCAGGACGGAGCCGCGGGCTGGTCAAGGGTCGCGGAGGCCGCGGGACGCTGCTGGGCGCGGGGGTCCCTGCAGCCCCACCGCGCCTGGCCGATCAGACGGCCGACTGCCACGGCATCCTAAGGCCAGACACCAGTGGCTCGGCCCAGAAGCGCGGCGCGCCGTCCGACTCCACTTCGAGCGAGTCCGACGCGCAGGACGAGCGCGCCGATCGGGCCCGCCGACTCGAGCGTCGCGGCAAGCGGCGTCTAGAGAGGTGGCTGCAGGAGGTGATGGAGAGGGACAAGCAGCTGCACGGGCTCAGCGTGCTGGAACAGCGCGCCGTGAGGGTCCGCACCGAGAGGTCGTACGTGAAGGAGCTCACATCGTTCGCGGAGTGGGCCGAGGTCGACCGGATTCAGGATGTGGACACCAGTCGCCTGGACGAGCTGCTGGTGATGTACTTCGAGGAGCTGTGGCTGAAGGGGGAGGCCCCGTCCAAAGGAATGAAGGTCATTGCCTCGGTCATGCACGTGATGCCGCAGTTTGGCAAGGTCGGGCGCCAGGGCCTGCCTCGCAGCTGGCGGGCGCTCAAGGGCTGGGTCAACGTGGTTCCGCCTCGGGCTCGCGTGCCTCAGGCTTTCGCAGTCTGGGCAGCCATCATCAACGGCCTGGTTCAGGACGGGAAGCTCGAGATGGGACTGGCGGTGCTCGTGATGTGGAGCACGTACTGCAGGCCTGGGAGCTTGCTGGCCATGCGTCCCGACGACCTCATAGCCCCGAACTCCGTGACGGGCATGTGGGGAGTGACGCTGAACCCGTACGAGGGGGGAGTGGCCAACAAGGTGAACGAGTTCGACCAGAGCTGTATGCTGGACCACTCTTTCTGGAAGTCGCTCCACCCACTGTTGGAGGCCCTCAAGTCGCGGACGGCTGGGGAGTGTCTCTGGCGTTTCAGCTACCCCGAGCTGGCCCGCTCGTTCAAGACCGTGGCAAACCGCCTCAAGATCGATGTGGTACCATACCAGGCTCGGCACTCAGGAGCCTCCCACGACCGCCTCCACGGGTTTCGAGACATGGCAGCCATCAAGCGTCGCGGCGGCTGGAAGACAGACAAGAGCCTTCAGCGGTACGAGAAGCACGCGTTGCTGAGCAAGACCTGGGAGAGGCTGAGCGAGAGCTTCAAGGCGCACGCAAAGCAGTGCGAGGCTCGGCTCGTGGGAGTGCTCTTGGACGGGCAGGCCGTGCCCGTTTTCCCGTAAGCCGCGGCGTCGTGTCACGCTGGATTTGCGTCTGGGGACCACGCAGTCGGCAGATCGGGCGGCCGCTTCGCGCGTCAGGTTTTAAGGTCAGATGCTTATATGACGAGCGTCCCGACGCATTGTTCGCCAGATCCTTAGTGTGCGATCTCCAGCGTGAGCGTCTCTTAGGCGTTTTGGTTGAGTCAGGTTTCAGCCCTCGTCACACGTCGCACGTCCAACGAGTCATGCGAGCGGCCGCCAGAGCGTTTGTTCCTTGCCTAATCTTGCACTATGACACCTCAGCCGCGCTGAGGCCAGCCCTGCACAAGCTTGCTGCCCGCGCAACCACTCGAGTAGATAACACGCTCAGTGCTTTCGGTAGTCATCACCGTCTCCCGTGGGTAATTTTGTGTGCAGGGATCTCATCTCGAGATCTCGACGGGCTGCGGATCCAGGGACCTCGAACCAGAAGGCACCCAGGCCCTCTGAGTTTGAACAGTTTTGAAATGCCCGTCGCTTTCGCTCGCTCGCTCGCGGCTGCCCTTTTAGCCCCCATAAGGTCCCTCTATCTAAATGTGTGAACTGGCCCACGCCAGCTTTGGGACAGAATTGGGGAGTGGAGCAGTTTGTGTCTGACGTGCACGCTTGCCAGTCTGGGTACAGTTGCACTCTGCTCGTCAGACTCCTGTCGGCAGTCCAGGCGGCGCTGTGACTGCCAGAGTAAGTTACACAGAAGCAATAGCCGCTAGAAAACAGATCGTCTCGTCATGGGTGTGCGTAGCACGATAATGACGTGCTGAGGTTTTTCGAGTGTCGGGCCCTGATTACCCCTCCATGTCCACCTAAACGGAAACCGTCTCAGCTTGCCAGTCCTCTTGCAGCGCTGTATGCGCAACCGTTTGTGCTCAAGCCTCGCTTTTCTTCATCACCCGCCCTCGTGCCGCCCTTGGTCACAGGGAGTGGAGCAGTTTGTGTCTGACGTGCACGCTTGCCAGTCTGGGTACAGTTGCACTCTGCTCGTCAGACTCCTGTCGGCAGTCCAGGCGGCGCTGTGACTGCCAGAGTAAGTTACACAGAAGCAATAGCCGCTAGAAAACAGATCGTCTCGTCATGATGATGATGCTGATGATGATGATGATGACGATAAGGATGTTGATGAGGACAGCGGCGATGACGACGACGACGACGATGATGATGATGATGATGCTACGGCTTAAGATGATGTTGAGGAGGAGAATGATTCTGATCATGATGATGAATATCATGATTACGCTGATGATGATGATCATGATGATGACGATGATGATATTGATGACGGTAATGACGATGATTATGATGATGATGCTGATGATGCTGATGCTGATGCAGATGACGATGATAATGATGATGCTCACGACGACGATGATGATGCTGACGATGACGATGATGATGATGCTGTTGATGATCATGACGATGATGGTGATGCTGATGCTGATGATGATGGTGATTCTGATGATGCTGATGCCGCTGATGATGATTATGATGATGATGGTGATGATGAGGAAGATGAGGACGAGGAGGAGAATGAGGATGTTGTTGATGATGATGATGATGATCATGATGATGATGCTGAGGATGATGATGATGATGATGATGATGATTGTGGTGGTGGTGGTGGTGGTGTTGATGATGATGATGCTGATGATGAAGCTGATGCTGATGCTGATGATGATGCTGATGATGATGGTGATGGTGATGGTGATGGTGATGGTGATGGTGATGCTGCTGATGCGGATGCTGATGATGATGCTGTTGATGATGCTGATGCTGATGACGATACTGATCATGATGCTGATGATGCTGATGATGATGATGCTGATGATGATGATGATGATGATGATGATGCTGATGACGATGATGATGATGATGATGATGATGCTGATGCTGATGATGATGCTGATGATGATGATGAGGGTGATGATGATGATGATGATGATGATGATGATGATGATGATGATGATGATGATGATGATGATGATGATGATGATGATGGTGATGATGATGATGATGATGATGATGATGCTGATGATGATGATGATGATGATGATGATGATTATTGTGAGGAGGAGGAATGCGACGACTAATACTAGTCATGCCATTAGTGATTCTAAGCATACGGAGAAGAATATGATAATGATAAAAATAATGATAACAATAAGAAGAAGAAAAATAATAAGAAGAAGAGGAATAATATTAAGAATGATAGTAAGAAGAAGGAAAAGACAAACAATCAGAAGAAGACGATGGCCGCGGCCGACGCCCCCCCTCGGGCAGGAGGCCTCGACGACGGGGTCGCCGCCGACAGCCTGGCCCCAGCCCCGACGGCCGCGCGGGCGCTTTACGTGGAGCTGCCAGACCCTGACGAGGAGACCCGGCCCTCCTGCGAGAGGGGGGGGCAGGAGGAGAACAAAGAGGAGGATGCAGGAGGAGGACGAGGAGGTGGGGGAGGAGGGTGGAGGAGGAGGAGGAGGAGGAGAAGCAGAAGTACGGATGATGATGATGATGATGATGATGATGATGATGATGATGATGATGATGAGGCTGATGATGATGATGATGAGGATGATGATGATAATGGTGATGTTGATGATGATGATGCTGATGATGAAGCTGATGCTGATGCTGATGATGATGCTGATGATGATGGTGATGGTGATGGTGATGGTGATGGTGATGCTGCTGATGCGGATGCTGATGATGATGCTGTTAATGATGCTGATGCTGATGACGATAATGATGATGATGATGCCGATGATGATGATGAGGATGATGATGATGATGATGATGATGATGATGCTGTGATGATGATAATGATGCTGACGACGATGATGATGATGATGATGATGATGATGATGATGATGATGATGATGATGCTGCTGATGATGATGATGATGATGATGATGATGCTGACGATGCTGACGATGATGATGATGATGATGATGATGATGATGTTGATGATGATGCTGATGCTGCTGCTGATGATGGTAATGAGGCCGATAATGATGATGACGATTATGTTGTTGTTGGTGATAGTTTTGATAATCAGGAGGAGGGGGAGAAGGGGAGGAGGAGGGGGACCAGTGTAAACCCAAAACGCACGAACGATGTTGCAGTTTACCCTCCCTCCACGTTTCCTGTGCATGGCACCGAAGACAGTTTTCACATTGCGGGAAGTACCCTATTACAAGGAAACCTTCGGATAATTTTCAACCGTGCCAGAACACCAGTCGTTGGACTGCAGCGCCACGAATCAACGTGGCTGTTGCGTCTTGGCATTTTTTACACTCGTGCCAGAACACTGTTCCTGGAACTTCAACACCACGAATCAACATGACTGATGCGCCCTGACGATCCGAAATCGTTCCAGAACGCGATTCCTGGAACTTCAACCATACGAACCGTTGCAACTGTTGTAAACTTGAAGACGAATGTGCGCGGCGCCAAGGCGAGAGCCACATTTTGAAGCTGTTGCAAACTTGAAGCTGCTGCAACCTTCTTAAGACGAATGTTCGTGGCGCTAAGGCGAGTGCGGCATTTTGAGAAGGAAGCGCCCCCCCCACCTGAAGCTGCGGCAAACTTTTAAGATGAATCTGCGCTGCGCTCAGTCGAGAACCACATTTTGAAAACGACCCGCCCTGCATACGTGAAGCTAGTGCAAACTGTTAGGACGAGTCTGCGTGGCGCTACGGTGAGAATCGCGACTCAGCGGGCAAGCCTGGGTGATGTCGCGGCCGTGATCTCGAGCAGCAAAACCGTCGCGGACAATTCAAGAGACGGGTTCTGATGATTGCTGGGCAGAGGAAGTTCCCAGGCAGATCGGCTTCCCAGCTTTTCGTTTCATGGCCGCTCCCCTGCATCGCCCGCGGGGCCAGAGTCCATGGGGCCAGCGTTTCGGAGCGGCAGAACGTGCGCGTTTCGGCTGGTTGTTCTTGTGTAGAAGATGGTGTAGCTCTCGAAGCCCTCGGCAACGTAGAAGATGTTGTCAAACAAGAAGCCCACCTTGGAACAGACGCCGAAGCCCCCGTCCAACATGTACTTCGTGTCGTCAAAAATGAGGTACTTCGTGACATCTTGAAGGTAAATGACAAAAATGTTGTCGATGACGATCGACAGGGTGGGCCACGCACCGAGGGGGAGCTCACACTATAGTAAAATTCTGGCCCATCTGCTCGAATGTAAACCCACTCGTTAGATATAGCAGTCAAAAACTTCTGGCCATTGAAATACGCGCGAGCCCCAAGAGACAACACGCCTCTCTGCCTCGGGGTGGCCGTCGTTCTGGCCCCTGGACTGGCTGGGAAGTCGCCTCCGACCAGGGGCCAGGCACCAACGGCATCACTGCCCACGGCCTCCTCTCCCCCGTCCACGTCCTCCCTTCGGCTTCGACTTGAGTACTCCCCAAAGCTGCTGTTCGTCCACTGTCTGAAAACTGCGGGCCTGCTCCAGAACAATACCATTCGTCGGGTCCTTCCACGCAACGAGCTTCGAGAAGGCCTCAAGAAAAGGGTACGGCGTGAAGTCCGTGAAAGTAAGCGTCCATTTCCAAGTACGATCTGTGAGCGGCTTCGCATATCTGGATGAGAATTCTCCCACCCAAGACTTGATCTGGGCGGCAGGCGTGGGGTTGAGCTGCTTCAAGGCTGTAACAGCAGCTGCACTCACCTCGTCCTGTGGGTTCTTCTGAGCATGTTCCATGATAATGGGCGTAAGGAACTTCAACATCGAAATAAATGCGAACGTAGGTTTCGCCATATCCAGTGGGTGCTTTGGGAAATTCCTCTGCTTCCTCATCTCATCAGTGATCTCTGGCTTCTGGTCCACATACGTCTGGATCATCGCGTGAAAGGCGGCCTCGTTAGCATTAGACTTCAGTAAGAACACAATCTGTTTTGCCGCCAAAGTCGGGCGGGCTGCGGCCTTGAAATTCAGGTAGTCCCGAAGGAACATGGTGTTGACCTCATCGGGCTGGCCCCCACTGTCGGTCGTCCTCCGCGTCTTGGCGTCGGGCGCGCCGGGGCCAGCCTGCATGCCAGGCTCATCTCTCTTCCCCTCCTCGACCTTGCCGCGCGCCTCCGCCGCTTTAGCCATAGCTGCATCCAAACACTTTCTGAAGATCTGTCATGATGTAGTGACCAGACTCTGTCAGGCACAAAAAAGGATAAAAGTCGAAATTGGCTTGAACCCAAGGCCATTACATATCCAAGATACACATTGTAACACATTCACTCCACAGGAAGAGGAGTGTGGTAACTATACGGATGGAACTTCGCTGGGAGGTCGCGTGCTGCTGCTAGAGTACGATGCCACCGATTCGTGATGAGAGGTAGTCCGAAAGCTTCACGGCGTTCTCTACACCCTCGCTCGTGCCGTGCCCGTCCGTGGGGATTTGCCCAGTACGTACCACAGTGTATGCACGGATTGTCACGTATTTTTGTGCGGGTTAACATACGTGTGCGAGTTAACCACATATCGTATGGCATGCGGGGACATATTTTCCTATGACATATCTGCTTCAACTTCCCCTTTTCGTCGTTCGTGTACTCCTTCCTGCAGTACGGACACACATGCATAGGTATGTTACTAGGCTGTGTGGGAGAAGGTAGACCACCGATCTGAGTACGTGAGACCAAATTCTGGAACCAACGAGGGAGGCCCGACTCTGTGATGATGTTTGACCAGGCTGCTAGACATGTGCGACATCGTGAACACGCTTTGCACCCTAGATCCTGCCACTTCCCATCCATACAATATCCGTACTCCATGCAACGATACCATGACCGACAATTCCGACACTTGCTGGCCTCGCACTTTTGCTCCAATATATGAGCATCGATAGGGTAGCGGGCCATCAAGTTCGCGAGCTGCAGCTTGCCCGCGTCTGACGTCCACCCTCCAGGTGGCCCCGCGATCGCCGCCTGTACGCGGCGTCCTCCTGCTTTCGGCTTGGCACGAGCAGCACGCGGAGCAGGATGAGGAGCGGGAGGTGGTGGAGGTACTTCTGAGGGTTCTTGAGGTACTGGAGCAGGGACGGAGGGAGCGGCGGCTGCTGCGGGGCGGCGCAGCGTCGCAGCTGGAGCCCCCGAGGAACAATGCGGGGCCGCTGCTGCTGCGCTGGAACTCGTGCTGGCTGACTGCGCTGGCTGCACAGGCTGAGCGGGCTGGGTGGGCACAGGTGGGCGGGGTTGTTTTCTTCGAAGACGGCGATCCTGCTGACGAGGGAAGCCCACTGGTACCTCAAAGAACCCATCGGATCCCCGAGACGCCTCTGGAAGGTTGTGTAGTTCCCGAAGTTCTTGTTGGGCCTGCTCCCGAATTTTTGCCGTCCGAACTCGGGCCGCGGGGTCCTGGCATTCACAGTATCGGATATGTTTCTTGTAGCCCTTCCAAGGCCAGTAGTGCCCACAAAACTTGCATAACCATAGGCCCGACGATATAATAGTCATCTTACCCTGCTCGAGGTTCAGGCGAAGGGCACGACTTTCTTGTTGTTCGCGGGGGCCTCCGACTGCGTGACGAGCTTTCCAAAGATCCCGATTGGCCTCCAGTCGTCGTTCGTGCCTCCATTTACGCATAAGTTTGGCCCACATGAGCCGATTTTGTGCTAGATTTGCCCATTCTTCCCGCCAACGCTCCCTATGGATATCAGAATACTGCACAATAGCTTCAACTTTCTGCCACAATACTGTACGGATCCTAAGCCTCGCGCCACCAAAGGTCTTGACCGAGGTAAACTCTTCCTCGGGATGAAGCCATAAAATCTGTCTATCCAATCGTTCAGGAGGGAGCCTCATCTGGTGGCCCAAAAATTGTAACCTCCTCCAGTCAATATAAATCTCAATCAAATCTAGATTCAACTGCCGCCTAAGATCCTGCATCGTCTTCTGGTCATCATGCATACACGAGCGGCGCTGGTGTAAAGTCCCAGCATGCACTCGTTAACAAATCCTTGGTAGCGTCGAAGCTCCAGCTTAGTAAACGTACGGCTCTCACAGCCAAAGCGCAAGCATGCCAAGACCGTGGCCTTGAAGAGCATCCCCAAATGCTTGACGTCAAGCTTCAAACGACTGAGTTGCGAACAAAGTTTCCGCCATACCATCCCCGCCTTCTGGAGGCGCTTTTCGGAGTCCGTGGAATTTTTCCCGTCGCTGCGCAGCCAGGCCCCCAGGAACCTCGCAGACTCTGAGAACTCGGGGGTCAACTCAGGGCCTGCACACAGTCGTTCGTACTTGTCTGGATGTACCGTCTCGGACCAGGATCCCAATACTTGCTCCAGGAGTCGTTCCAGTTCGGGTCGACGTGACTTACGGGATAGCAGGTTGGTATCGTCGGCGAACATCAATTCAAATAACCTGATCACGGGGTGCTC